CGCAGCCCATTATTTCGGGTGGCAGGGGGTGGGGAGGGTGGATAGTGGGGCGGACGCGGCGAGGGAGGCGGGGAGCGGTCGGGAGGGCTGGCTCTGGTGGCTCGGCTGCCACAGCCGGCCGGCCTGCAGGGCCTGCGTCCGACGCGCAGAGAGGTGATGGCTGAAAGGTGGGCGATGGCCGCCAGGCTGCGCCGCGCCTGGCCGCCGCCGCCCACCTGTGCGCAATCACGATCACGGTGCGCCCGCCGCAGCGCATCGCACGATCCAGCGCCGACTGCACCGCTGCCTCGCTCTCTGCACAACTCAACGGCGCGAGGGGGGGGGGGGGGGGGGGGCCGCCGAGCGGGATCGGGACTGCCCGCTCTTTTTCGCAACCAAGCGGCAAAGAAGAATGGCGGCTGGTTGCCCCGGGAGTGCTATTCTCACTCCCACCCCCAGAGCTGTCAGACCTGCGCCCTGTCCCCCCCCCACACACACATCCGTCACGCGCGCACAAGGGCACACCCCGCCGCCTCACCGGCGTCCAGCGCCGAGGTGGCCTCGTCCAGCACCAGCAGCGGCGGGTCGCGCACCAGCGCGCGCGCGATGACGATGCGCTGCCGCTGCCCGCCGCTCAGCAGCTTGTCGGTGACAGGGGTGGCGTAGCCCGCGGGCAGCGCGGCGATGAAGTCGGCGGCGTTGGCCGCGGCGGCCGCGCGCTCGATGTCCTCCTGCTCGTGGGCCAACGGGGGAAGGACGGGGGCCGGGGCGGGGTGAGGGAGTGTGTGTTGTTGGATGTGGCACTGGTGGTGGTGTGGGAACAATCCGTGGGTGTGTTGTTGTTGGAGGTGTGTGTGTGTGTGTGTGTGTGTGTTGGAGAAGGAGGTAGNTGGTTGGGGCAGGGCGGGGGCGGCTGGCAGCCGCCTCTGCCACCCCCACCACGAAACCACCCCTTCAACACACACACACACACACACACACAGTGTTGCTTTCCGTTCAGGTAGACCAGTGTAGGTTAACCTATATCCTTATCAGTGTATGGATATCAACCAGCCGCGCACCTGGGTGGCCCCGGGGCAGCCGTACGCGATGTTGTCGGCCACGCTCATGCTGAAGAGGCGGGGGTCCTGCGACACCACGCCCAGGTGGCGCCGGAACCAGCCCGCATCCAGCTCCCTGCGCCGGCACAAGCGCGGGCAGTGGGGCGCGGGGCGGGAGCGCGGGGTGTGAGAGCACACTAGGCGTGTGTGGCAGGGGGCTGGGGCTGAGCGCGCGACCGCGCTTGTGCATGTGTTGAAAGCAGTGAGGGCGCGGGGCGGCGGCGGGGCTGGTGGGGCGAGGGCTGCCTCCGCGGCGCTTCCCCGGCCCGCCCCTCTGCCGCCGCGCCCGCCTGGCCTGCCTCCCGCCCCTCTTCCGCCGCGCCCGCCTGGCCTGCCTCCCTCCCGCCCTCCCCACCTGAGGTCGCGCCCCCCCAGCAGCACCGCGCCGGCGCTGGGGTCGTACAGCCGTTGCACCAACGCCACGAGGGTGGACTTGCCGCTGCCGCTGAGGCCCACCAGCGCCGTGAGCTTGCCCGCGGGGATGAGCAGGGACACCTGGTCAAGTGCCTTGGAGTCTGCGGGGAGTGGGGAGGATGGGGCAGGGGGCAGAGGGAAGGAGGGTGGAGTGGCGGCGGTCTGGCCACACGCAGGGACTCGGCTGGGAGGCCGAGGCAGACCCAAAGCTGGGGGAGGCGGTGGCCCCCAGAGAGGTGGGAGAGGGTGCCTGGGTCGGGCGGGCGGCAGGCGCCCCCCAAGCCCCAACGGCACCCCCCAGCCGCGCCGTGCCTCGGCCGCCGCCCCGCCTTGCCTGGGCGTGACGGGTAGCTGAAGTCGACGCCGCGCAGCTCCACCTGCCAGCTCAGCCCCTCCCCCGCCTTGTCGCCGCCGCCCGGCGCGCCGCCCCTGCCGTCGCCGCCGCCGTTGGCGCCGCCGGGCACGACCCCCGGGGCGATCTGAGGGGCGGGGGGGGCGTCCAGGTAGCCCAGCACTCGCTCCGAGGCGCCCACCGCCTCCATGATGGGCCCCCACTGGTCGCACACCGACAGCAGGGCCGAGGCCAGGAACTCTGTGTAGAACCTGCGCCCGGTTGGTTGGTTGTGTTTAGGGTTTAGTGTGTGGGGAGGGGTTGTGTGGGCAGGGGAGGCAGGGCGGCTGTTTGTGTTGGTTGGGGAGGGGTTGTGTGGGCAGAGGAGGCAGGGCGGTTGTTTTGTGGTGGCGTAGGTGAGAGGCTGCAGCCTTGTGGTGTGGCGGGAGCCCAGCACAGAGGAGGGGAGCGCGAGCGGGCCCTGAGCCGCGGCCCAGCGCCGCGGCCTGCGGCTGCCGCTGCTCGGCCGCCGCATGGCAGGGCGGCGGCGGCGCGGCAGTGGGGGGGGAGGGCCCAGCCTCACATGAAGGCGGTGAGCTGCTCGGCTGAGATCTGGCCCGCCACCGCCGCCGCGCCGCCCACCGCCAGCGTGGCCAGGCGCGTGGCGTTGTACCTGCAAGGGTGGTACCGTAAGGGTGGTACCACGGGGGACCGGGGTGGGCCGGCGGTGGAAGGAGCAGGGGTGACGGCCGCGGGCCCGGCCCGGCTGGCAGCAACACGAGGCAGGCAACGGGGGTACAAAAGGCGGGAAGGGGGAGGGGCGCAGCCCTGCTGCGAGCGGAGCGCCCCCGTTTGCTCACAGGAAGTTGTTGCTGGCCACGTAGAGGGCGTAGGCCGCGCTCTGCAGGCGGGCAGAGGCAGGAGGGAGGTGTGCTGGCATTCAGGCAGGCAGGCAGCAGAGGGAGGGGAGCTGGCTGGCAGGCAGGCAGGCAGCAGAGTGAAGGGGGAGCTGGCTGGTGCCCCAGCCAGCCTGTCCGCCGCGTGCCTCCCTCCCCTCCAAAGCAAGCCCCAGCAGGCGACGTGCCGGCCGCGCCGCGGCCCCCCGAGCCCCTGCCGTGCGGCCGGCTTGCCTGGCGGATGCTGATGTGGCGCAGCGTGCGCAGCGTGCCGTCGTACCGCTGCTGCGTCTGCGCCTCGGTGCCAAACGCCCGCACCAGGCGGGACAGGCTGAACCCCTCCTCCGCCACTGTGTTGCTGTGGGCCAGAGAGTCTTGGTAGATCTGCGGGGAGCAGCAGGCAAGCAGGCCAGGGCAGAGCAGGCACCCGAGCAGGCAAAAACAAAAGCTTGAGAAGCTCAGCAGGCGGAGGGTGTGTGGGCAGCAGCGCCGCCGCTTCACAGGATATCCCTGCCGGGATCCAGCTGAGGGGAGCACAGGCAGGTGCATCGGCAGGCTTGGCTGGCGGTGCGCCCGCGGCTGGCGGCGGGTTGCGCGGGCGGGGGCGCACCCGCTGCGCGCGCCGCGTGAAGCTGCCGTAGGCACCAGCCACCAGCACCAGCGCCGCCGCCACCCCGGCTGTGGCCGCCGTCATCTGTGGCGACAGCCGCCACAGGTATGCTGCGCCGCCAATCTGCGCAGCAGGCGCAGGCGGGGGCGCAGGCGGCAGCACATGTCACCCGTCCGTCCCTGCCCGCAAGCCCCTGGCCTCCAGCCTGCTGGCTGGCTGGCTGCCTGCTGAGCTCACTAGCTAGCCCCGCTGGCAAGCTATAGCCCACTAGCTAGCCCGCTAGCGAGCCATAGCCGGCCAGCTCACCACTTGCAGCGAGTTTCTGAGCGCCACATTGATGCTGGTGGCAAACAGCCTGCTGATGACTGAGCAGCTGCGCGGCGCGGGGAGGGAGGGAGGGGGCGAGGCACGCCGGCAGGCATTGAGCGGCAGCGCGGGGAGGCGACCCACCAGGCTGCGCTCAATGCACGCAGCTCAATGCACGCAGCCCCGGGCGAGCACAGCACAGCCCCCGCAGGCAGCACCCCATGTCTGCGCACCGACCCCATCAAGCTCTCACTCTGCGGCCAGACGGCTGGTCAGCTGCGCGGTCTCGGTTTCGTCGAAAAAGGCAACCGGCTGGCGGATGAGCCGCCCAAACAGCTGGCTCCTGCGCCGCGCACACGCGTGGCGAGCGGGGTGAGGAGTGCTGGCGGCCGCCCCCCGAGGGACCTGCCCCTGCATCCTCCCCCAACACGTCAACCCCCACCACCTGGCCTGTCAGCAAAGCAAGCCTGCTGCTCCTGCCCGGCCTGCGGGTCCCCCCTCTCACCTGAGGCGCTGCAGCAGGTTGGTGTTGAGCATGCTGAACAGCCAGCCCCGGATGGCGGCACAGCCGGCGTAGGCGGCGGTGGAGGCGAGCAGGAGCGACAGGTTGGCGGCGAACAGTCGCTCCGAGCGCTCGCGGGCGGCCGAAAACACGGCGGCGGTGATGTAGTGAGGGATGGCTAGCTCCGCGGCCGCCGCCGCCACCATGAAAAACACGGCGGCGGCCAGCAGCGCGCGGTCGCCCGCCAGCAGCGACCCCACTTTGCCCAGCAGGCCGCGCATGTCCTGCGGTGGCGGCGGCAGCGCAGCGGCTGCCGCGGCGCCGTCGCCGCCGGGCTCGGGCTCCAGCTGCCACCACTGCCGCCAGGCCGACATCGGCCCCTGCTTCTGCCGTTGCTGCGGCGTGGCGGCGGCGGCATCCCCAGTGTGCTGACTGCTGGGCCCAGCTGCTCCCGCCGCCGCCGCGCTGCTTCTCGCGTCGAGCGGGCGGCGCGCGGCGTGGCGGCGGCGCGAGGCGTGGCAGCGGCGGCGGCAGCCCAGGCCCGCCAGTCCGGGAGGCTGTCGGCTGCCTGCGTGTGCTAGTCGTGCATCGCTGCACTGCCTATGCTGCCCAGGGGCCACCCCAGGGCGCGCCAGCACGGCGCCCAACATCCTTTTCAGCTGCTGCTGCGCCCTCTCGCCGATCGGTCGCTCTCGGGGCGGCACGTCGGTATCCCGAAACTGCTGGGAGTAGCAATGGCGCACTGCGCTCGGGTGGCAACTGGCCCACGAGGATGAAAGCTGTTGCGCTCAAAGGATCGCTATCGGCAATGAATGGCAATGTGCCCAGCCACATGGAGCCAGCGATCGACTGCATTTCTGCAAAGCTGACCTGGCGCCGCCGCTCCTCTGCCCCCAACTCCCCACGTCGTGCCGCCTGCTGCAGGTGGCTGGATCAAGGAGGCTTCCAAGATGGCGGGCATCCCGGTCTACAGCATCAAGACAGCCTCCGCCAGCAATCTGGTCAGGTGCGGGGCTCTTGTGTGGGCGGGTATACGTCAACGGCGCACCAGCCACCGCTTACCCTCCTCGCCGCCGTCCCACCTTACGCCACTTTGTCCACACCGCCTGCGCCCATGCAGGGCCGTGCGCACCCTGCTGGGCATCGATCCCTCCCCAGGGGCCATGTTTGCCGGGGACGCAGAGTTGCCCGCGGCAGCCGACCCGCGCTCCCGCACCTCCACCAGCCGCACCCTGCGTGCCGAGGCGAGCATCGCGCTGGCAGCGGCCGCCGAGGCTGGCAGCATCACCAGCATCACCAGCAGCAGCAGCAGTGGCGGCGCGAATGCGCAGGATGCGCTAGAGGAGGCACGGCTGGCAGGTGGGGTTTGAGCAGCCGCTACACATGCCGGCCCTGGCTCAGCACAAGACCCACTCTGCAACCCTTGGCCCCGTGCCCTCACCGCATCACCTCTTGCCCCGCATCACCTCCCGCCCCGGCCTGCCCCATGCTGCCCTGTGGTGCAGCGGAGCAGATTGTGATCCCGCGGTGCCAGCCTGTGGAGCTGCTGCCTCGCGACCTACGCATCATCGACCTGCAAGTGCAGGTGGGCGACTGGTTGAAGTGGGCCAGCACAGCACAGCGCAGCGCAGCGCAACGAGCAGCTGCTGCACCCCGACTCCTTTGCCACGCCACGCTGCCTGCATTGCCCTACTCACTTTGGTGCCCGGCTCCTCCCACGGTGCTGCTTGCAGTTAATGGAGGGCCTGGGATTACCATACGAGGTGGTGGGATCGGCGGCCAGCCTGCGCCTGCGGGTGCTCCCACCGGCGTGGGCCGGCAGCGGCAGCACGAGCGGCGGCAGCGGCCCGCCCGCAGCGGCGCCCGGCAGCGGCGGTGCGGCGGCGGCGGCGGCCGCCGCGGCGGCGGCCACTGTGGAAGGCGCTGTGCAGAAGGATTTCTGGTAGCTGTCCACACCCCCAAGTTTTGCCGACAATTCTTTCGTTCCAGTTCATTTCAGTGCATCCATGCAGTCAATCCATGTATGCAATCAGTCCCCTTAGCACAAGGAGGGTGTTCAGGCGCCCGCTCGACTCCTGCACCAGCCGGCTTGAACTGCCTGGAAATGGCAGTGCTGTGTGGTGAAACGTCCTTTATCCCAGATTTCGGCTGTCTCATCATACAGCATCAACAGTGAAATGGGTCTGGCGGGGGCGAGGGCGCCCACGCTGCCGCCACCCGCCCGGTGACAGACAATGTACCGTGGTTGGTGCCCGCTTCTGTCTATGCCGACTTGCAGCTATATGCAAGCATCTGCAGTCATCCTGAAGCCCCATGGGCATGCCAGGAGCGCTTTGAGCAGCTTGCATTTGCCGCCGCCAGCGTGTCGTCCTATGTGGCGCCGCAATTGTGAACAGCGCTTCAAATGCAAACCGATCGCTGCCCCCGGCGCTCCTTTCGCTCACCGCCTCTCCTCTCGCTCGTGTCGTGCGTTATTTGAGAGGGCCAGAGCGGCCAGAGCCGGCTGAGGGCCAACCAACCGATTTAGAACTTGTAGCTGGTGTCGCCAGGCGCTTCACTCGCCCCTCTCCACATCTCCCGGCTTCGATCGAGTGCCTTTTGCACAGCAGCCAGGCCCCTGGCCGCGCTTATGAAGATGTGAGCGCTGCATGCAAACTCTGCAGGCCTGGGCGGCGGCTGCGCGTTTTAGGGATTGTGGGCAGGGCGGCGCGCAGCGGCGCCCTCGCGTTGCAAGCTGTAGGCTGCCCCGGCTGTCGGGCGCCGTCGCTCGACGGCGGCGGTTCGAGCTGCTCCCGCGCCGCCCGGCTCCTGCTGCAGTGTTGAGGAGAATCTTGGCCTGCTTTCCAACGACGAGGTGCTGGCGGTGCTGAAGGACAGGGAGGCAGACAAGCAGCCGGTGGTCAGCAGGGCCACTCCGTCCGAAATCCAGGTGCAACGGCGGCACGGCTCGCACCCGCCTGAGCCGCAGACGGCCCGGATGCGCTGGCATGTGCGCCTTTGCACCGACCCCAGCGGCAGGTGCCTGACCTTGGCGTGCCCCACCCCTGATGCCGCCCTTCCACCCGCCTACTGCAGACGTACACCGCGCTTCTGCAGCAGTGCGGCGGCGTGTTCAAGAGCCGCGAGCAGCTCCAGGCCTTCATAGATAGCCTCCAGGTGTGTGTGTTGGCCACGACGGCCGGGGCCCACATCACACCACTCTTGGCAGGGCGGACACGCTCCTGCTTGAGCACGCTGCGTGGCGCGGACCGGGGCCCGGCGCCGCCCTGGCTCGCCGCAGGCAGCGGGCTGGGGGTGCGTGCCTCCGACCGCCGCCGCTCTCGCCCAGCGCTTTCCATGCTGACCCCGCTGCCCTCGCCCTGCGCCCCTCCCGCTGCCCCGCTCGCAGCCCTTTGGCCTCACCAAGTGGGAGGTTGTGCAGCTGGTCAACCACCGCCCGCCCTCGGTGGTGGAAATCTTCCTGGTGAGCCCCGGCTGGCTGGCTGCCAGCTGCGGCGCCTGCTGTGGTGCCTGCTGCTGGCGGCGGCAGGTGGTGACTGTGTGCAGCCCGGCCCCTGCTCACCAAATACCTACATTGCCCCACCCCCTCCCTCTGGCTCTCCTTGTGCTGATCTACTCCCTGCTGCTGCCCCTTCCCCTGCTGAATCCCTTCCCCTGCTGAGCCTGTTCCCTGCAGTGCATCGAGAACTGTGAGGAGCGGTACAGCGAGGAGCAGATCGAGCAGCTGCTGCAGCTGGTGCAGGAGCACCTGGGCGCCCCGCAGCAGGCCAGCTGAGCGACGCTGCGCAGAGCAGGCAGCTAAGCAGCCAGGCAGCGCCGCAGCAGCGCCGCAGTCGACTAGCCTGCCGGCAGCAGCACCAGCAGCTAGTCAGCAGTAGCAGCAGCAGGCAGCATCAACAGGAGGACGGCAGCATAAACAAGTAGCAGCAGCAGCAGCGGCAGCAGCAGCGGCGGCCATGGGCAGCGACTACTACAGAGTGGATGCCATGATGGCTGAGGAGACGTATGTGCCTGTGCGACTGGTGCACGGGTGCACAGGTGCGGCGCACGGGGGCAGGGCCACTCAGCCCTCTGGCAGTGTGCTGCCGCCGCGGGGAGCTGCTCGGGTGGGGTGGCGGGCCGCCTTGCACGCGCCACGCCGCTGCCGCGTGCCGCCGTGCCCGGGGCGTGCCGCCCGGCTGCAGACCCCTGCTGAGCCCTGCAGACCCCTCACTGGCTGCCCGGCCGGCCCTGCCGTGGCCTGTGGTGCGCTGCTGCAGGGGTGGGGACGGTGATCGATCCCAGCAGCGACCAGGCCGACCTGCCGCCCGGCACGCGCCTGGACCTGCCGCTGTGGATGGTGCCTCCCATGGCGGGGCGCAACATGCTGCAGGCGCGTGCCGGGCAGCGAAGCCCGCCCGTGGCGGCGCCCCCCGCCTGCGCAGGCATGCCCCATCCCCTCCCCCACCCGATCCCCCCAGCCCCAGCCCCACCCGCCAACAAATCAATCCCCTCCTCGCGACGCCCCTGCCTCGCAACCCATCTACTGCCTGCTCGCCTCCCGCCTCTCACGCGCGCTGGCCCCACGCACACCCACACACAGCTTGCCCCCAAGTCGCTCCCCGCACACACACGCACACATCTCAAAAACCTCTCCTCCCCCACCCACCCCGAACACCACACCATACCCCACCCACCCCACAGGTGGACCTCCCCGTCTTCTACGGCAACAAGATGCGGCGCAAGATGAAGGCGGGGGCGGGGTGCGAGGACCTGAAAGTTCGCTGCCCCCACTACTACTCGGTCGCTACACGCCTGCACTCAGCCATGCAGGTGCGCTGCTGGCGGGGTGTGGGGGCCCTGCAGGTTCGGTGCCATGTTTCGTCCTCATCGTGGCAGCGCCAGGAGGGGTGGGAGGTGTGGGGTGGGCCGCAGCCGGGGCGCGCCCAGCGGGCAGCGCGCGCCGGGTGATGCGCTGCGCTTTTCGGGAGGGAGGTTTGTGTGTGTGTGTGTGTGTGTGTGTTGCAAGCTCTCAGGATTTGGGTTGCGTGCTTGAGCGGTGTGCTTGAGCTGTGCTTGTGGCGCAGGCGTGCCTCACAGCGGACGAAGACTTCCCCGCCTTCATCCTCAACACCTTCAGGAGCCGGTACAAGGTGCGGGCAGGCAGCCGCGCGGGCCGCAGGCTGCCGCCGTCGCGTGCGTCCCGCGGTCCTTCCTCCCGGCCTCCGCCGCTCCGCTCGCTGTGCTGCGCCTTTGAGCCCACGCGCTAGCCCTTGCCCGGCCCACCCGCGCTGCCCTTTGTTTGGCTGCAGGAGCTGCTGACCAAGGCTCCCCTGGTGGAAAGCGACCTGGAGGCCAGCCAGATCCAGGCCAAGCTGAGCGTGGAGGAGTCGCAGGTGGGGCCTGCTGCCTGGGCCCGCCTCGGCTGGCGGGCAGGGCAGGCTGGGTGTTCCCCTATGTCGGGCGGCTGCAGCACCCGCGCTGCGCTGCGCTGTCGCTGCGCTGCGCTTCTTCGTTGCCAAAGCTGGGGCAGGAGGCGGCCGGCGGCGGCCTCGGGAGCCCTGTTGCGTCACCTGCCCTTTGCCCTGCCCTGCCCGCGCCGGACCTCGGTGCAGCTCTTCACGGCGGCGGCCGAGGCGGGGGCGGCGCACCAGCGGTGGAAGGGCAACGGCGACAGCCGCCCCATGAACCGCTCGCAGAGCCTGAAGCGCAAGTGGGCGGCAGACAGCAAGGAGAACGCGGCGGGCAACGGGGCAGCCAGCTGAGCGCCCACCGGCCGGCGGCGGCGTGGTCGCCGGTGCCATCGCTGCCGCCAGCCCGCAGCACACCTAGACGCCTGCATTCATGGCAGCATTCTTCCCAATCCCCTCCCAAATTTTCGCGCACCTTCCTACACCTACCTGACCTACACTGCAAACGCTTTGACTGCTCCTCAGGCGAGCAACCAGCAGCCGGTGCGCTGTGGCCAGCTCAGCGCCGACGTGGCGGGCCCGCCCATCATCTTGATCACGGGGCGGCAGCGGCCTCCATCGCAACCCGCAACCATGTTGATGGCATCTGGTGTTGTCTGTGCGTCTGGGGCGGCCCGATGGGCGGCGCCCAGGGCCCGGCCTACCACGCAGCCTGCTCACCGGGCCGCAGCGGCGCGCAACGTGACCAGGCAGCAGCGCCTGACGACACGCGCTGCAGAGGAGGTTGTGGGGCTGACGGATGTGGAGCCAGAGGTGAGGCCCGCCCTGGCCGGCGGCAGCCCGTCATGACGGGAGGCAGTGTGATGCGCCGATGGCTCACTCCTGCGCCTGCCTGTTGCTCTGTTACGCAGGATGCCCGGAGCTCCATCGCCGTGGGGCTCAAGTTTTCCAACGCGGGCCAGTGGGCTAAGGCGCAAGAGTGCGTCTGGCTGGCGGTGGGGTGGCGGCGGGGTGGCGGGCGCCTTGCGGGCCGGGTGCCATGGCGAGGCGTGTGGCTGAGGGCGTGCCAACTGTGCCCACTCCCTCCCTCTGCAGGTACTTTGAGAAAGCGCTTGAGCTGCCCGGCACGGGGCTGAAGCGGTGGCGCGACAAGCCTCCGGCGCTCAGCACGGGCGAGCTGACGTCTGCGCTCTACAACATCGCCTGCTGCCGCAGCCAGCTGGGAGACATCGAGAACGGACTGATCGCCATGTCGGGCGCCGTGGAGCAAGGTGGGGGGGCCCTGCATGCCCGCGCCTGTATTGTGTGCTGCGTACCGTGCTAGACACAGGCCGCAGGGCAGGCCTGGGCAGGGCAGCTGGGCAGGGCTGGGCAAGCAGTGCAAATTTAAAAATAGCCTCACTGATCCCTAAAGGAAGATCTTGAGCGAGTGCATGCATGTGGGTGGTCGCTGGCGTGGCCTGCGCAGCGCCTCGCGACGTTGCAGCTCACTCCACGGTGCTTTCTTCCCCCGCCGCTGCCGCGCTCCGCTGTGCAGGGTACCGCGATTTCCAGCAGGTGGCCGCTGTGCTGCTGCCTGCTTTGATTTGATTTGATTTGCTTTGCTTTGCTTTGCTCCTGATCGGCTGATTGTGGCAGTGGAAATCCGTCCTGTGACCACGTGCATCAAAGCTGCCTGATTTGGGCACCGAGTCCCCCCCAACCCGCCACCCCTGCTGGCTGCAGCTGCGCTCAGACCCCGACCTCACAGCGCTCAGGGCGGACGAGCGGTTTGAGGGCTTCCTGCGCCGCTACGAGCGCAAGCAGCCCGAGAAGACCGGTTTCATGGGCCTCTTCTGAGCCGGCTGGCCACCGGGCACCTGCCCAGCCTGGCCTGCCTAGCCATGGCAACTCAGTCCCGAGTCACTGCTGCATGCCGCCCTACTTAGTGGGACATTAAAGTTGCGAGCCCCTGCTCCATTTTGACTTGTATCAGTTTCTCGTTTCCAGCACACTCTCCTCTTCAGCGCGGTTGCCTGGCTTATGAGGATGGTTACAAGGATGGTCTGTTCTATGTAAAATAAAATGCGCAGGCATGGAATGGACAGCTGGCATGCATGGGGATGATACACTGCACAACACAGCCGGGCAGATGGTGAGGTGGTCAATTGAAGCAAGCAGTCTGCCAGGAGGCTGCCATACCAGGTCGACAGCCACGCGCCGGCCCGGGTTATCAATCATGCGGCGCCGCCGCTGACGGCAAACAGGCGGGAGGGCAGCTCCAGGAGGCCGGGCCGCTGATTGGGGTGCCATTCCTGCAGGTGGGCCCGGGTCTGGTGGAAGGGGTAGGGCCGAGAGGGGCTGCTGCTGCTGCTGCTGGGCGGGCTGCCGCCGGATGCGCTGCTGCTGCTGCTGCTGCTTCCGGCAGGTTTGGCAGGCTCGGCTGACAGCTCGCGGGGCTTGACAACCTGCAGGCGTGCAGGGACAGCAGGCTGGCGTTGCCGCTGCGCTGGAATGCTCTTGCTGCCCAAGGCAAGCCCCGCCCCAGGGCAAGAAGCAGCCACTGCCAGCTCTGGCACGCATCTGCCCACCAGACTGCTGCCCCTAGAGCCCAGCCCTCCCGCCTCACCGCGCCGTGGCGCTGCCAGGCTGACTGGCCGCCGCCGTGGAAGGCGGTGGCGCAGCCGTTGCCGTCGCGGGCGCCGTTTGGGATGTGGTGGGCGCGGCGGTTGCAGCAGGTGAAGCGCAGCCCGGTGCCGTTCATGAGACCCCCGCTGAACAGGATGCCGGGGTGATAGCAGCAGCTGCTGCCGCTGTTTGTGCTGTCCGTAAACTCCTGCCGGCACCGGTCGCATGTCCACGTCTGCTGCAGCGCACGATACACCTGGCGGCCAGCGCAAGCGCCACCTTGTGCCCGCCTGCTCCGCGCCCGCTCGCCCAGCACCGCCACGGTGGCTGGGTCGGCGGCGGGGTGGTCCCGCCGCCGCGCGGCCTCCCAGGGAGCCTCCCGCTGCGCTGCTGCATGCCACGTGCGGCACACCCTGCAGGCAGTGTGCGGCGAGGGCGGCGGGGGCGGGAACAAGCCCGGAATGGTGTCGGAGGGCGGGTTCCCTTGCTGTGCCACGACCCCACAAGTGTGACAGCGGGCCGGAGGCAGTCAAGCCAGGCAGTTTGGGCGGGCGCGCCCTCCCCTGCCACTCACTGCGAGGCCGCCTGCAGGTCCCCTGCGACAGGCAGCTGCACCAAAATCATCTCTAGGACATCCAGGGGCAGGCAGGCTGCGTTATGCTGCGTTTGTTCGGTCGCAGACATGGCCCAGCAGGGTTTTTTAGCAACAAGGGCAGCTCTGCTATTGTGGCTGGCTAAGCAAACTTGCAAGAGAGGCGATCAGTCTGCAACAAGAGAACACGAAAGATGAGCGCCAAGCCACGTAGGATTCCACAGAATTGATCAAATTTTCTTGAGCGGACGACGATCTGTGGCGGCATCGATCGGTCGATTCTCTCCTCTCTGTGGGCACTCCATCGCCACCATCACGGCCGCCACAGGGTTCCGGCTGTGTGGGCCAGTGCCCTGGCAGGCTTGCCAGCCGCTCAGGGAGCTAGGCCGCCGCGCGTCAGGCCACTGCAAGCCCTGCAACGGCGCCAGCAGCCAGAGACCGTGGCAACGAGCGGCGGGTGCGCAGGGCGGGTACCGGAGCGGGTGTTGATTTCTGCTGCTGCGTTGCATCCCGCTGATGTGCTGCTCATCGGCATCGCGAGTGGCTGTGCCGTGCACCGACTCTTGACTCCTCCCACCCACTCCTGTCCCTCCCCCCAGCCGACGGAAGAGGCATCCTCCCCGCAATGGGGCCAGCCGGGCGCACCCTGCTTGCCTGGGACTTTGACTGGTCTCTGATCGAGGAGAACTCTGACACCTGGGTGATCGGCCAGCTGGGGGCCGACGAGATCTACCGCAAGGGGCGGGAGGCAGGCATGCCGTGGACGCAACTCATGGACCACACGCTGCGGGTGGGGCTAGGCCCGCCGGGAGCGTGTCCCGCAGAGGCTTGGGACTGCCAGCAGCTGCGTGCTGAGGCTCCGACCCAACAAAGCGCTCCAGCAGCAGGGCTGCGCGTCCCCATGCCAAGGCCCCTTGCTTCTCCTGCTGTTTCGCCTGCCGGCTGCGCTGAACACGCGCTGAACGCCGGCGCGAGGCGCTGGCGCCCTGCCTGGCTGGGCCTGCAGGAGGCGGCGGCGCTGCTGGGGCGCACCCGGGAGGATGTGGAGGCCGCGCTGCAGGCCACACCGCTGCACCCAGAGCTTGCAGACCTGCTGCGGGCGGCGGCGGCAGTGGAGGGCGGGGAGGCAGTTGATATTGTGGTGCTGAGCGATGCCAACACGGTGAGGCTGGGTGCATGCGCGTGCTTGTGTGGTGGTTGGCGGATGAGGGCTGGGCAGGCGGCCAGCTCGACGGCCTGGGTCCCCACCCTGCGCGCCTCTTCATGCCATCGCCTTTGCCCGCCATTCTTTCCTGGCCCTTCAGGTGTACATAGATACCATCCTGGCCCACCATGGCCTGCGCCAGCTAGTGGCCGAGGTGCACACCAACCCTGCAGAGTGGCGCGGCGGTGTGCTGCGCGTGGGCCCCTACCACAGCAAGCCGCACAGCTGCAGCCGACGCTGCCCGGCCAACCTGTGCAAGGGCAAGGTGAGCTCCTACCCAAGCGCTGCCAGCATGCGAGGCGGCGGGGGGGTCACAGCGCGCTTCCTGGTGCGGGCAGGTAGCTGGCTGGTTGGCTGGGCTGGTTGACCGATTTGTCCGCTTGCCTTGCTACCTCGGGGCCGCCTTGCCCCCTCAAACCTTACCCGCACCTGTACACACACTCTGTCTTACACACATGCACACACACCGCCCTGCAGGTGCTGCTTGAGCTTCTGGAGCGGCGGCGTGCGGCGGGACGGCAGTACAGCCGGGTGCTGTACGTGGGCGACGGCCGCGGCGACTTCTGCCCGGCTGTGCTGCTGCTGCACGGCGGCGGCACCGCGGCAGGCGGCGGCGACGCGGCGGCAGCGGATGGCGGCGGCGGCGGCAGCCAGTCGCCGTGCGGCGGCAGCGGCAACCGCGTGTATGCTCGGCAGGAGTACCCCGACGGCCTGCCCTGCTCTCTGTCAGTCATGCTGCGGAATGAAGCCCACGGCGACGGCGGCAGCCCAGCATCAGCATCAGTGGCGGCGGTAGCGGGGCGGCAGGCAGGGGCTGAGGCAGAGGCACGGGTGGTGCCCTGGCGGCGCCCACAGGAGCTCGCTCAGCTGCTGCGTAGGGAACTGCACCTGGCAGCCTAGGGACTGCTCTCTGTGCAGGCACAGCATGCGGTCACACAGGCCCAGGCAGCCCGCTGCCGTGCGCTTGCAGGGGCGATGAGCTGTCCAGTTGTGACCGAGCTCTCATACAGGAGAGAAGGGAGAGGAATCTGCATCAAGATGTTACTTGTTGCCTATGCTAATAACGTGTGGCATTTCGCTCATCCCAATGGACATCAAGCATCATGCGTGCATGCGTGCTCGAGCTGCCCGCTCCGTGGCAGCTGCGTGGTGGTTGCGGCGGCACTGATGGCATCCCGCCAATATTCTTGAAGCTTCAGCTCGCCTGCAGTAAGCGACACCGCAGCAGCAACAAAGTCATGCCCGCAGCAGAGCCAGCGGCCCAGCGGAGATTGTGGCGGCAGCGAGCTCACCGTGGCCAGCCGCACACCCAGGGGCTTCGCA